TACACACCCCCCGCTCCTAGAACACGGCATGTCCGTGACGTGATAATGTTTGTCCCGCGGCTCTACATTATTAGTCCTCCCTCCTCCTCCTGCCCCTCCTCCCCCCCATACAGCGACAAGGAGGCTTCCCCCCCCTGTGTCGTTCCTCGCGCGCGCGCAAGGCCCAGGAGCCCGCCCTCGCGCGCAACGGGGCCTCGCCGCTGGAGGAGCCGCTGGCGCCCCCCCCCCCCCCCGCCTGCGGGCGGCGTCCCGCCGTGGACTTCCTTCAGGAGGAAGGAGGGGGAAGAGGAGGAGCAGGAGGAGGAGCAGGAGCTGGAGCAGGAGCAGGAGCAGGGGGAGGAGGAGGAGGAGGTGGAGGAGCAGGAGCAGGAGCAGGATGAGGAGCTGGAGCTGGAGCAGGAGCATGAGAAGGAGGAGGAGGATTAGGTGGGGGAGCAGGAGCAGGAGCAGAAGCAGGAGCAGGAGCAGGAGGAGGAGGAGCAGGAGCAGGAGCAGGAGCAGGAGACAGAGCATGAGCCGGAGCATGAGAATGAGAAAGAGCTGGAGCAGGATAAGGAGCTGGAGCAGGAGCAGGAGGAGGAGGAGGAGGAGCAGGAGGAGGAGGAGGAGCAGGAGCGGGGGGAGGAGGAGGAGGAGGGCTTCAAGCGATCGCTCCGTGTGCCCGCCATTAGGCGCGGCGCCCTTCGGCGGAATGAGGATAAGTGACCCGCTGGTACTCTCGAGGAGAAGGAGGAGGGGGAGGAGGAGGAGGAGGAGGAGGAGGAGGAGGAGGAGGAAGAGGAGGAGGAAAAGTGCAGTGCGGTGCGGTACAGTGTAGTGCAGTGCAGCGCAGTGCAGTGCAGTGCAGTGGAGTGCAGTAGAGCGGAGCGCAGTGGAGTGGCGTGGAGTGGAGTGCAGTGGAGTGGGGCGCAGTGCAGCGCAGTAGAGTGGAGTGGAGTGGACACCGCTGCGGGTGCAGGCCGCTTAGCTGGCCTAAGGAGGCGACTAGGGCCGCGGGACCTTCGAGCGTCGCGTCGATAGTTCGGCTCGACGCGGGACGTTGAGGATTCAATCCCGCTTGTAATCCTGACAAGGTGCTCTCGGCAACACCCCAATATACTTATACTATATGTGTGTCGCCCCCCCAGGGGCGACGCGCGCACCGAGAAATCTTATAGTATATGCGTCGTGGCGGGCGCTTTCTGGCCACACCGCTCGGGAAACGATATACTACAAGATGGGTATACTATATGTTCGGGTCGGACGCGCGCCTCCAAGGAGGACATATAGTATTAGTATGTCCATGTGCCCCCCAGCTTAGGCTGAAGCCATCGACCCCCAATCGCCCACTGGTCGACGATAGGGTCGAGTCGGGCATGTCCCTCCACAGCAGGAATATCCGAGAGGAGCAGAAAACGGTCTCGTGATTATCTGTTGACCGCATGCCCCTTACCTGCGCGAGTCATGCTGCCAGCGCGATCGCCCCCGCACGCGGTGCAGAGCCAGACGCGACGGGCCGGGTGGGCTGCCAGGGCGTGCGCAGCGCGGGCCCGGTCCCCCGCGATCTGGACCAGATCCCCCTTGGAAAGCTCCTCCTCCTCCTCCCTTTCCTCCTCCTCCTCCTCCTCCTCCTCCTCCTCCTCCTCCTCCCCCTCCTCTTCCTCCTCCTCCTCCTCCTCCTCCTCCTCCTCCTCCTCCTCCTCCTCCTCCTACCCCGCCGACATCATATTCCCGGGCAGTCCGATTCCATGAGCTCTTGCATGGTCGAGCAGCGACGGCGGCGGCACACGGCGGAGGGGGGAGCGGAGGAGGTGGGCACGCACGGGTTGCCGCTCGAGGGGTCCTGCACACCGCACGACCCACGGCAATCGCGCGGCCCGCAGAAGGCGCACCCGGAGCAGGTGCGCTTTTCTTGCACGCGCCAACTCTATGGTGCGGTCTACCACGGGTAGAGATCGGCGGCGAGCGAGGGGGGAAAACCAGAGGGAACAGGACTTCTCGGAGGGCGGCGAGACTTCTCGGAGGCCCTCGCGCCTTCTGAGAAGTTTGTTCTGTGTCTGCGGGGAAGGCTTAGAGAACTTCTCAGAAGGCCGGGGGATTTCCGAGCCTTTGAGAAGGCCTTCTCTTTCTCACTTCCCCCCTCGCTTGCCCCCGAAAATAGCCGTACCGTGGCAGCAGCAAAACCAGCGAACTCGTCGGCGATGGTATAGCTCAGCACAAGGTGACGCTTGTTCCCCTCCCCATGCACCACATGTCTTACTGATTGACGCTGGTGGGTTCGTGGGACTGCGACGTCAGTGTAGCTTTCGGTATCCATGGGAACTCTGACATTATTTCAAATGTTCGCTCCAAGAGCCTGTGGGAATACCACCCGTATGCAACATACTCGCAGTCGGTCACGAAGGTTACTCCGACAGTCGCGGGCACGGTGGTCGCCTCGGGGGGGTCTCATGTGCAGGTGGAGAGGCCCTTATGCCTTCCACCTGGGCGAGCGTGGCCGGTCACTCTGGCGAGAGTGGCCACCCCCGCCACCGCCGGAAGGCCCAGACCTCCGTCCAGCTCGGTGGAACCCCCCAAACCGGCCCCACAGTCTCACCAGCCTGGAGCATATCCCTATCCCTGCCATTGGAGGGTGAAAGTGGGGGTCGGGCGCAGGGTCCGGGCAATGGTGTCTTTATGGGGCATAAATGGGCGATACGTCTTCGATCGCCGTGTTCGGCGGGGGCACCGATTGGAGCTCCCCGCCTGCACCCACGCGCGAGACTTGAGGGGAAACGAAGCAAGGGGGCGGGGGGCTCGGGAAAGGCGACGAAGGCAACGTGCGCTGAGGGCGCAAAAAGAAAAGGTTGGAACAAACGCCGCGGTGGCAGCCACGGCCAGAAGGCCCAGACCTCCGTCCAGCTCGGTGGAACCCCCAAACCGGCCCCAGAGTCGTCACCAGCCTGGAACATATCCCCATCCCTGTGATTGGCATCGCCTCGTCTCGATGCCGACCTCAGGGATTCCCTCCGTCTCTGAGGGCGCGTCCCTAAGATTGTCGTCGACTTTTGGCTTGTTAACCTTAGGGATCTGGACGCCCGAAATGGGTACGGAAAGAATGGGGACAATGCCAAACAGCTGTTCTTGTTCATTTTGAACCGGATTCGCTGTCCACGCCGCCGCGGCCTGTGTCCATTTGAGACAGAAGGCCGCCTGCCCAACAGCGGCCGCTGTCGGTTTGGGACAACATTTGTTGTTGGGCACCGTACCCATTTTTGTCCGTGTCCCTTCCGGGCGTCCAAACCTAAGATTGTCGTCGACTTCTGGCTTGTTAGTCTTAGGGATAGGGATATGGTAGGTTTGCGTCGTGTCGACCAGCGGCGACCCCAGCGCGGGCGTTCAAGGTTGGACGCCGCCGGCGACCCAGAATCGATCGATGTTGAACATTTGGGCGTTGCGGAGGCGGCCGATCGTTCAAGGCTGAACGATCCCCGCGGTGTCAGAAACCAACGCCAGGGTCGACACGGCACGGACCTGCCGTACGCTCGTGTCTGGTTCGAGTCAGCGCATTTCAGGAGGGGAAGAAACACACAGACACAATTAATCCTCGATTCCCCAGAAAACATGGGAAAACATGGGCAGTGGGGGGGAAGGCAAAAACCCAGAAAATATGGGAAAATATGGGGACTATTTTTATTTGTGTGTATTTATTTGTGTGTGTCCTGATTTCCCTTTAGCATTGGGAGCCCTACGCCCGCTCGCCTTCGGGGGCGCCCGCGGAGGGCTCCCGCGAGGGCGAGGCCCTTCGGGCCCTCCGCCCTGCCGGGCGCGGCCGCGGGGCCGCCACCGCCGCGGCTGCCTTTCTTGCCGCCTGCTCCGAAGGGGCCCGAGGACGCACAAGGAAATGCACACAAAAATAGGAGGATGCCCCATATTTCCCCCACACGTTCTGGGTTTTTGTCTTCCCCCCCACTTCCCACATTTCCCCCCATTTCCCCCCATTTTCTGGGGGATCGACGGTTCACTGTGTCTCTGCATGTTTTTTGTTCCCTCCTGATACTCCTCCGTCGACCAGCTACCCGGGCAGCTACCCTCGCGCAGTCACTTTCGGCCTACGTCCCACCCTCGAGTGTTCCGCCGTTTCCGCTGTCCGCGCCTCGAGTTGTGACGATCGCACGGCTGTCGCCTCAACCTGAACACAGCATCACGCCCCCCCCGTCGCCTCCACGCTGCCTCGCCCCAGCCTCTGCCACCTCTGCCCTCCGCGCGGCATTCACCAGGCAGCCTAGGGCCTAGCAGCTACCAGAATAGTCATGTCGCCAGCCGAAGAGCAGGCAACCTCGCCAGGGCTGCCGCTGCTCACCGTCGCCGCAGCCACCAGGGCTACTGCTGCTCACCATCGTGGCTGCTGCTCGCCCTCCGGGCGCGGCTGCTCCTAGTGGAGAGCACCTCTCGCCATCAGGGCTGCCGTTGCTCACATTGTGGGGTGGGGTGGGGGGGTCAGGGATGGACGGGGTGCACCTGCGCCACGCCGCCGTCACGCGCGCCGGCAGCCCCACCTCCACTCCCCTCCCCTCTGTCATCATGATGTGGCCTCCTTTGTCTCCCCTCCTTCCCTCTCCTCGTCGGCTTGTCGGCTTCCCATGTACACTTCTTACAAATACCGCTGGGAACGGTGTTCCGGGGGTCACGTGGCCTTATTTTCCCAGGGCCGACCGGCCCAAGGGGGGGGGGGGCTGCGATCGACGATTTCTTCAGCCACCAGGAATCAGGAATCAGGAGAGGGAGATAGAGGAGGAGGAGGCGGAGGAGGAGGAAGAGGAAGAAGAGGAAGAGGAAAAAGCAGAAGAAGACCAAACAGGAGAAGAAGAAGAAGAAGAAGATGAAGAGGAAGAGGAAGAGGAGGAAGAGGAGTTGGAGGAAGAGGAGGAAGAGGAGTTGGAGGAAGAGGAGGAAGAGGAGGACGAGGAGGAGGAGGCACGCGGCAGGAAGACCCGATTCGACTCCTCGATCCGGACCCGGCCGCCCCCGCGGGCCCGCAGGACTCGCTGCCCTTTTTCACCGGGACCTGGCCGTCCACGCGGGCCGACTGGAGCGGCGAGGTGGGCGTCAGGCGGCCGGGCACCCCGCGCGGCGGCGGCAGCGCGGGGCGGCCAAAGTCTAAGCCCTGAGCCAGGCCCCCATGGCATCGCTCGGACGTGTACATGTTATTCTCGGCGAGGACCATCGAGGACCGCCCTGGACCATCGAGCAAAAAACACGGCGCGAAACCGAACGATGCACGGGAAATGGGCGTCCGAGCGATGGCGAGGCCACCTCGCGTCCTGAAGAGAGCGCGACGGGAGGCTTTCCGTCACCTTCGGCATCCGGGGGCCCTCGCTGAGCCCTGGGGCCGTCGAGAACGACTCGGGACACCGAGCCGGGTCCCTGGGAAGGGGTCGAGACCTCTGCCAGACGTCGTGCAAAGATCATGCCGTCGGGGTAATTATGGGAACACCTCGTAGGCGAGCACGGCAGGCTCGCGCGGCGATGGCGCCTCGGCAACGCCGGCGAAGGCGTGCAAGGTTGGCTTCCGTATGACAGGACGACGCGGAAGCATTGAGGGGCACGGTAACGCCACAGGACCCGACGGAATTCGGCCTTGACATATCGGGGCCGCGATCAGTTCAAGGTCGAACGATCAACGCGGCGTCAAAAATTGTTGCGCGCGCCGACGCCGCGCGAGCATACCGTAGTGGGTCTGGCGCAGATGGGTCGGTGGCGAGAGACGCAATCATTCATCAATGGTGCTCTATCGCGTGACATTGTGCGCAATGCTTTGTGTGGTTGCGAACTGTTGCATGGGCAACAGCTGCTGCGTGTGAAGAAGCTGCATCACTGCATCCACGCACAGCTGCTGCATCTGGCGCGCAAGCTGCTGAATCTACGAACGAACTGGTGCACTGGTGCAAGTCCTGTTGCACCTATCCCCGCGGACCCATGTCTGCGTCAGTCAGGAGGGAAAAAACACAGACACAATTAATAATCGTCGATTCCCCAGAAATATGGGAAAATATGGGAAGTGGGGGGGAAGACAAAAACTCAAAAAAACAAAAAAAAAAAAAATGAAAAATATAGGGATTTGTTTTATTTGTGTGTATTTATTTGTGTGTCCTTGGGCCCCTTCAGTCAGCCCCCTACTCGAGCTCCACAAGAGGGCGACCTCCGCTCGAGGGGGGCCGCCAGGGGGAGCAGCGGGGCGACTTCGGCGCGAGGGAGGAAGGCTTGGGATCGACGAAGGGCAAGCTCGAGTCCTCCTCGTCCTCGTCCTCGTCGTCTTCCTCGTCGTCCTCGTCGTCCTCGTCCTCGTCTTCCTCGTCGTCGTCCTCGTCGTCGTCCTCGTGAAGGCGCATGGAGCAGCGACGGGTCCCGCTTCCGTGCGGAGTCGTCGCACACCGTCGGAGCATCGAAGGCTCCTCGGCCTCTCGTGCTTCGGAAGGCAGGCGCTCCCCAAAGGGCACCGTTGGGGCTCTTGTCTTCACCACCGGTTTGGGTCGCCCCCCCCGTGAGCACCCGCCCGATGAGAGACGGGGCCCCCGATGTTCTTCAGGAGGGGAAAAACACACAGACACACTTCATCGTCGATTCCCCCGAAAATATGGGAAAATATGGGGTGTGGGGGGAAGACAAAAACCCAGGAAACATGGGAAAATATAGGGTGTCCGGTTATTTGCGTGTATTTACTCGTGTGCCCCAGGGCCCCTTCCGCTCTGTCCGCTGCTCTCGGGCTCGCAGGGCCCCTCGCTTCGGGGAAGGAACAAGAACAATCAGCAGCAGCACCACTTTGGGGGCCAGGGTGCGCGCGGGGTTCGCCTGGGCCGGCGCTGTGAACGTGGCGCTGTGAACGTCCGGCGGACGGATTCCGCCTCCCAGATATTTGTCATCGGCTTGTTCCACCCCCGGAGACCTCCTCCTCGCCCCTCCTCCTCCTCCTCCTCCTCCTCCTCCTCCTCCGCCTCCGCCTCCGCCTCCGCCTCCTCCTCCTCCTTGCCCTCCTCCCCCTCCCCCTCCCGACATGTTCCGCCTCTGGAGGCCTCGATGCCTCCTCTGTGGGGTCCGAGCAGGGCTTGGATTGCGATGCATCGCCAGTGCATCGGCGATGCGGGTCGATGTGGGGCCCGATCTTCTCCACACCGACGACGCCGACATTCACGTCGCCGATGAATTCTGCGATCCCTCCATCGTCCTCTCATCTCATCCGTCCTCTCATCCCTCGCTCCTGCGTTTCTCCTCCCTCCCGCCTCTTTCACCACCCAGGTCAATGACAATGTTGCCCCCCGCAGGTCTCTTACGGATCTGCCACAGTCGCCGTTTTTGCACGAGGTGTCGTCATGTCGCTGGGTTAGTCGTCGCAATTGTCTCCCATGGCCCTTCGTTCGTATCCGTGTTCGGATATCCTAGCAGGGTTTCAGGCGTGGGGTCGAACAGGAGTCTGGCCAGCCAGTGAGATTGTGGTGATGTCTGGCTGATTCATCGCCATTTTCTCGGTGCCACCTCTTGTCGCCGTGTTCTTTCACCTGCTTTCTGGATCTCGTTGGTTTCCCAGTGCTCGTCGCCAAAATCCCGGGCCGCTTGCTCATAATACCTTGAGATTCGCAACCTTCCTCTTCCCTCCCTCGATCCTCTTCTCCTCCCTCCTCCCTCCCATCCCCTTCGACTCATTCCCCCCTCCACCCACTCTCACCTGAACCCCATGCTCTCCTCCTCCGTCCTCCCTTCTCTCTGCTCTTCTCCTCCAGGGCTGGACCTAAACGGTGCTTTTGGCGATTTCGTGGGCCGTTCTCGTTTCGACTTCGTTTTGCGGTGAAGGCGGATTCGAGATCACAGCGAGGGAGAACGGGAACGGCACGAAGACGAGAAGCACGTTTCAGGTCCCGCCCTGCTCTCTGCTCTTCTCCGCCCTCCCTCCTCCCCATCTCCTTCCCTCCCGCCCCCCTCCCCTTATCAGCTCCTCCCTCCTTACCAGCCTGGACCATATCCCTATCCCTATGCTGGGCACCTCCTCATCACGATGCCAATCTTAGGGATCCCCTTATTTTTTGAGGGCGAACCCCTAAGATTGTCATCGCCTTTTGGTGTGTCAATCTTAGGGATAGGGATACGTTCGAGGCTGGTAACCTCCCTGCATCCTCCTCCTCGCCCCCCTCGCAGAGCGCGGGGCGCCCGGCGCCCCCCCCAAGAGGAGGACGCCCCCCAAAACAGCAGCGCGCCGAGCCTCGAGCGACGAGCACGGCGGGCCCCACGCTTCAGGAGGGGAAGAAAACACACAGACACAAGTCATCGTCGATTCCCCAGAAAAGTATTGGGAAAATATGGGAAGAAGTGTGAGGGGGAGACAAAACACCCAGAGAATAGGGGGAAAGATGGGAAATCCTGTTGTTTGTGTGTGTTGATTTGTGTGTCCCAGGGCCCCTTCAACTCTGGCGGTGACGGCGGCGAGGGCGACGGCGACGGCGACGACGGACCGTCTCTGGCGGTGGCGGCGGCGGCGGCGGCGCCGACGCCTGCTGCAACGCCGACGGTGCCGACGTCGGTGCTAAGCGCGGCGGCGCAGGTTCGAAGCGCGCATCGATTGCGTCGTGTGCGCGCTGGGCCGCGCCTGCGCCGGCGAGCTGCTCGAGGCCGCGCCGGTGACGCTGTGGTGCGCGGAGCGGCAGGAGGCATTCTGGCGGCGCGAAGCGCGCCGCCGCGCTCGGGGAAACTTCGAGCTCGCTCAGGGGAGGAGGAGGAAGAGGAGGGGGAGGAGGAGGAGGAGGAGGAGGAGGAGGAGGAGGAGGAGGAGATCCGCGATTGACGCCGATGCCGACGACGCCGACGTCGACGAACGAACGACGAACGTCGACAAACGACGAAGGGCGACGACGCCGACGACGACGTTGACGACGAACGTCGACGATAGGCGACGACGACGACGATGACAACAACGCTGATACCGACCACGGCGACGACGATGACGAACGACGAACGCCGACGAACAACGAATGGCGCCGACGGCGGGGACGACTACGAATGTCGACGACCGACGACGCCGACGACGACGCCGCCGAACGACGACCGACGACGCCGATGGGCGCCGCCGCCGCCGACGACGCGATGGACGCCGCCGCCACCGACGACGACGACGACGACGACGGACGGACGGACGGACGGACGGACGAACGGAAGAACGGACGAACGGAAGAACGGACGAACGGAAGAACGGACGGACGGCAACACCGACGGACGACGCCGACGACGACGAACAACGGACGACGACGACGACGACGACGACGACGACGACGCCGACGCGCCGCGGCGCCGCGCAGGCCGTCGGCACCGTGGAGGTCGGGCCCCGCTCGCACATCGAGGGCGGCTACGCCTTCGAGCGGTTGCCCGAGGGCGTCGCGCTGCAAGCGCCCGCCCCTCGCCGACGCCGCGGTTCCCTCCCTCCATTTCCTTGGCTTCCTTTTCCTCCTCCTCCTCCTCCTGCTCCTCCTCCTCCTCCTGCTCCTCCTCCTCCTCCTCCTCCTCCTCCTCCTCCTCCTCCTCCTCCTCTGAGAATTCAGCAAGATACCGCACCGCGGAAGCCCGTTTCAGGCACGCACCCAGGGACGCAGTCGGACCGCTCGGCCCCCTTACCCTGACGCAAACATCAACCTGGCATCGCTCGGACGTGTGCCTGTGTTCTCGGCGAGGGCCATCGGGGAGCATCCTGGATCATCGGGGAAAAAAGCACGCGCGAAATCGAAAGCTGAAAGGGGAGTGGAAGTCTGAGAGGAGGAGGAAGAGGAGGAGGAAGAGGAGGAAGAGGAGGAAGAGGAGGAAGAGGAGGAGGAGGAGGAGGAGGAGGAGGAGGAGAGGACGGGGCCAGGCAGGGCGCCAGGCTGGGACCCTGGAGGGGCCCATCGCCAGAGCTGGGCGCTCGCCGGGGCTCTGCCTCGGCCGCCTGGCCGACAGCCACACAGGGAGGGAGAGGAGAGGAGCAGCGAAGTGCAAGCGGAGTGCAGGATCGCTCGTGTTCGTCAGCAGCTCGTGTACCACAACGACGTCATTGCCGTTTGTCTGCGACGCACCGGTGAAGAGCAGAAGCCGTTTCGAAGCGTCGTGTGGCCTGATATCAGGGCGCCAACCACGCTTCCTTGCGATAGCAGCAGTCGTCGGTCTCACGCTGCCTGGTTGGAAGGTTAGATTTTGGAGCACCTCCGCGTCGCTACTGCGGCCATGTTTCCCAAACCACATGTTTTGATGCTGGAGGACTTGACCAATGTAAGGTATCGCCCCCGCCTGCTGCAGCACATTTTTGTTGGCCCCCTTTGGATGAATGTTCAGAATATGGCGAAGACACCGCGCCTGGAACCCATCCAAACTTCGTCTGCCGTTTTTTGTTGCCAAGCAGAGTTCACATAATACCCCATTTCAGGCACCACTAATACGCTCAGCTTTCTCTCTACACTGATGGACGTATGTTTCCAAGCCCTGTGTATGTTAGATGTTTCCCCCAAGCTCGCCAAGTCTTTTAACCAGCTCTTGTTTTATGTTGACAGAACCGTAGATCGTTGTCCCCAGGTCCTTGATGTGTTCAGTAGCTGGAATCGGCTTGCCTTCTGGTGCTCAACGTTGGATGTCGCAGCCTGTGTATAAGCTGACATTTACCCTATAAAGCGTCATCCCCACTTCTGCTCCTGCTTCTGCACTTGCATACTGTAGTTGACCAGCGTGCCGTCCAGCCACGAGGGTGTCCTCGGCGTACAAAGAACAAACACATTACCAGCAAGAGCTGTGAACGATGCCTCGTCAAGTTTGTTTTCTGCGTTCTTTGGAGCCAAACTCGTCACCATGACAAAGAGGAAAGAGGAATGGCGATAGAGGGCAACCCTGCCCAATTCCCGATCGTCGGTTTCTGGTGCGTGATTTCTGTCCACGTGTGCTTTCTGAGAGAAAGCCTGTGTGGTGGTACACTACAACCCGCAATGCGTCCAAAAGAGCGGTCACGTTGATCGAGTCGAATGTTTCCCTCCAGTCCAGCGCTCTCATAGCGATTGATCCGTCCCGTTCCGCGTGTGATCTCGAATGGCCTTCGGCCCATCCCGCCACCGTTGTTATGAAGCCTATTGGATGTTCGATGGGGTCTCGCGGGAGGCCTCGCGGGGGCCTCATGGAGGCTGTTTTGAGTCTTTGTGTGGCCTCTTGGGGGCCGCTTGGGGGCTTCGTGGGGCCTCTTGGGCGCCTCTTGGGGCCTCCTGGGGGCCTCTTGGGGTGGCAGGCTCGGATTGTCGGTTCGGATTCCCTCTCTTCGACCCCTTTTGGGGCAGTATTGGGGCCGTCTTGGGCGCTTCTTGGGCCGCCTGGGGGCGTTCTTAGGCTTGCTTGGGACCTTCTTGTGGGCCTCTTGGATCGTCTTGGGGTGGTCTTGGGGGCCTCTCGGGCCGTCTTGGAGCGTCAGAAAACAGAACAGGAGAGAACGTCAACATCTGCCCAAAAACGTAAGAACCTAAATGATTATGGCCTCTTGGGGCCTTCTTGGGAGGCCTTTTGGAGGCCCCTTTGGGCGTCTTGGAGGCCTCTTGGGCCGTCTTCGGGCCGTCTTGGGCATCTTGCGCCGATCGGTGCCCTGTTGGCCGTCTTCGGGGCATGTTGGAGCCCTTTGGGCCCGACTTCTCGCCCTTGGCGCCGAACCAAAGTCGCGCGAGAAGCTGCGGGAAGCCCCGGCGGGCACGCGGGGAGCCCCGAGGGATTCGGCAAGTTGGGGCCCGAGTCTTCTGATGATTCCTCCGGAGTGCTTGCGGAATTTGGCAACGGACCTGAGGACAAGCCCACTCCGTGCCCAGCGGCACGGTGGCGGATCTAGACAGGTCTGCGCACAACCTGAATTGCATCGGTGGTGCCCATCCGTCTCTTGAAACCGAATTGTGTCGTTGTCAGTCTGCTCTCGGCCCCCGCGTCTTGTCGTCTCCCCAGCACTGAGCTCGCAAATGATGCAATCGACGGGTAGGGCGGTAATTGCCCCCCTGGTCGATTGGCCCTTTGTTGTTGTACATGGCCATGATGTCGGCAGGTCTCCATTCCGTCGGCACTTGTTTTCCTTGCCAGCACGTGTTGATCAGCGAAGTAGTCCAGGTCAATAGTATCCAGATGCCGACGGCAAGTCCCGCCGCCGTGATTGGGCCGTGTGTATGCAGCCTATTGGATGTCCGTTGGGATCTCGTGGGAGGCCTCTTCGGTGGCCTCTTGGAGGCAGTTCTGAGGGACTCTTAGGGCCTCTTGGGGCCTCTTGGGGGCTCTTGGGCACCTCTTGGGACCTCTTGGGGGCCTCTTGAGGCGGAATGCTCGGATTTTCGATGCGTGTTCCCTTCCTCGGGCCCCTATTGGGGCCCTCTTGAGGCGCTCTGAGGCAATCTTGGGGCCTTCTTGGAGGCCTCTTGGGTGGGCCCTTTTGGGGTGGTCTTGGGGGCCTCTCCGGCCGTCTTGGAGCGTCGGAAGACAGAACAGGCGAGAACGTCAACGTCTGCCCAAAAACGTAAGAGCATACATGACTAGTGCCGCTCAGGGGCCCTCTTGGGGGGCGTCTCGGGAGCCTCTTGGGGCGTCTTGCCTGGCCGTCCGGAGGGCATCGTGGGCGTCTTCGGGCGATCCTTCGGCGACTCGGGGCCCTCTTGGACCTTCATGGAGGAGGAGGAGGAGGAGGAGGAGGAGGATGAGGAGGAGGAGAGGAGGAAGAGGAGGAGGAGGAGGAGGAGGAGGAGAGGAGGAGGAGGAAGAGAGAGGAGAGAAGAGAGAGGAGGAGGAGGAGGAGGAGGAGGAAGGAGGAGGAAGGAGAGGAGAGGAGGAAGAGGAGGAGGAGGAGGAGGAGGAGGAGGAGGAGGAGAGGGAGGAGGAGGAGGGAGGAGGAGAGGAGGAAGGAGGAGGAGGAGGAGGAGGAGAGAGGAGGAGGAGAGAGGAGAGAGAGAGGAGGAGGAGAGAGGAAGAGAGGAGGAGGAAGAGGAGGAGGAGAGGAGGAGGAGGAGGAGGAGAGGAGGAGGAGGCGCTGGGCGCCGTGGAGGCCTTGGGGAGCCCCAGGGAGAGAGGCCGTGGCCGCCCCAGGGACCCGCGGGGGCAGGGGCAGCGCAGTGGGTCCTCCCTCCTCCCCTCCTCCCCCCCTCCTCCTCCCCCCCCCCTCCTCCTCCTCCTCCTCCTCCTCCTCCTCCTCCTCATCCTCCTCCTCCTCCTCCTCCCCTCCTCCTCCTCCTCCTCCTCCCTCATTTTGGCTCAAGCGACCGCAAGGTGCCGCCCCGTGCCCTCCTGCGCGCGATGGCGAAGCCTAGAGGGGCTCTTCCTGCTGCGCTGAGCGGCGCCGACCTCGTGGAGGCGGCCGTTCGCGCGGCAATCCTGGCGAAGGGCGCCAGGCGCACGGTGGCCGCTGTGGCTCGTGCGACAGCCGCGGCTGTGCTCTCGGCACGCGCTGCGCCGTCGCCGCCGCCTGCGGGCTCCGGTCGTGCCGAGGGCGCCTGCGCCGAGGTCCAGGTCAGGGACGACTCCGAGGACAAGGGCAAGGACAAGTACATGGGCAAGGTCCTTCGGAGACGCCGCCGCCGCCAGCGTCTGGCGGAGGCGAAGCGTACGGCGGCTGCTGCGGCGGACGCCATGGACGAGGACGTCATCAACGATGAGTGGGCTGATGACCTGCGGTGCGACGCTGCTGGTCGTGATGTTCCTCTCGCTGGTGAGCCTCGGGCCGCTGCGGTGGCGGCTGCCCCCCTGGCGCTGGCGGCGCCCGTGGAGGCGGTCGCGGCTCCTGTGGGGCTGGCGCTGACGGAGATGTCGGAGGACGTCGCTGCGGCTTGCGTCCGCGCCGTCGCTGGGCGGCTCGACGCGGAGCCAGCGACGATCGTGGAGGCGCTGGAGGCGGAGTTCCGCGCCAGCGGCATCGACATCGGCGCCTTGGCGGCAGGGTGTGGTGGCCGCCCGCCGCGGTAGCCACCCCTGCCGCCGTCGCTGGACGGCCCGGTGTTCGCGCTGGCCTTCGGCATCCATGGGTTCCTCTTCTGAGGGCCGCCCGCTGGACGGGCCCGTCGTCTCCCAGGGCGACCCCTGAGACCCCAGCTTGGCGCGGGGCTACTCGGCGGGCGTGTGGGAGGCGACGAGTCCGCCCAGCCGTGGACGACCCCGCCGTCTCCCTGGCGCCCCCTTCGGGGGGAGTCGGGGCGGCGTCGAGGCCGCCCACACCTCTGCGCTCAGTCTGTGCCTCAGACGCGGCGCTTGGCTCTGCTCTGCTCTGCTCTGCTCCTCCTCCTCCCTCCTCCCTCCTCCTCCTCCTCCTCCTCCTCCTGCTCCTCCTGCTCCTCGTCCTCCTCCTCCTCCTCCTCCTCCTCCTCCTCCTCCTCCTCGTCGGGAGCCTTGAGACGGGGGTCAATGCAAACGGGGGTCAGCCAGGGCACCGGATTTCGCAGGATCCTGCGAAGACCCCCTCTGGCTGACCCGGATTACGGTGCGAGCCGCGAGGCGGCCGCGCATGTTGGCTGACCCGGGTCTGCGAGGACCTGCGTCGCAGTTTTTTTGTTCCCGCATTGCAGTTTTTTGGTTTCCTGCTGACCCGGGTCTGGATTTGACCCGGGTCAGAAGATCACCGAGTGGGAGTGGGGTGGGCGTGACCGGGGGAGGGAGGGGGTCAAACCCTGCCAGGCAGCCCTTGGCGTTCTTCCACGCCTCGACGTGCCGCAGGCACTGTGGCGGACTTGTTACGGTCTTTGGCCAACGCCCTCCGAAACTCCGTTGTTATGTCATTCAGTCCAGAAGTTGTTCGCCGCTTCAGTTTTGACATTACGAGTCCAACATTTGTGTCTGAAAAATTGGTATCGGTGATGTGCAGGCGTCTCCGAGTAGTGCTCGATTCAACACTGTTACTGGCCAGACTTTCCACTGCACTGATTCCAAATACTCGACCATCGTGTCCACCTTCTCTTCGAAATCAACAAGCTCGCCTCGTAGATCACGTAGTCTGTCTTGTTTGTGGGGCTTCGACCGGCATATTCTTTTCAAGGATGTTCAATATTTGCTTTGGATATGCTTGTCCGCCAATTCCGTTTTGACGCTTGCAGTTCATGTCCGTATCTCTTTCAACAATCTAGATGATTCCTTCGTATGGTTACGTAAGATTGCTTGGCCTCATTGCTCTATCAAATCCAGCGTTCTTTGTGATATCCAAGGCGGCCGCGTGGTACTGCCCTGGTGCGGTAGCGTCTTTGTTGCCCATGTCATGGCGTGTTTCTGGCATTACCCCACATGTCGTGCACGTTTTTTGATTCCGATGCAAAGTTCTAACATTCGTCCGTAAATTGATAACGGATTTCTTCACCATCCAAAGCAGTCGTGCCCGTCTTATTGCAGTTCTGTCGCGTGTTTGGGGGGCATCACCAATGCCATAATGCCCCCAAAGAGGTGTTTAGAGAGTCACAATTGGCCTCCAGAAGTTCCCAAGAGGCTTCAACTGACCTCCAAGAGGCTCCCCAGAGAATTCCCCGCAATACCCCAACAGGCATCCAAAGAGCTCTGATCCGCAAGGCAGGCACGGTGGCAGGATGGACCGAAGACCATTTGGAATGATCAAAGCGACCTAGCCTTTCCTTCTCTAGCCCTTCCTCCCTACCCCGTCTTCTGTGCACTCGCCCTTCCTCTTTGCAGTGGACCTGGTGGCACTTACGACCTGCAGCCCAGGTTCCCAGGGCTCTTCCGTTGGATTCCCCGTCTCTACGCCATTCGAACTCCATGTTCTTTGGGTGATCGAGTTCATTGGTTGTCTTGAATTCGATCGCAGCGTATTGTTATGCATTGCGTGTGTACTGTTGCTTAGTACTGTTCCTTCAAATGCTACGCGTGTTGTTCGTTACGATGGGTTTGCACTGCATCCGCTTAACGTAATCATGTGTTTTGCAAATCACTTCCGTTGCAAAGCATATTGTCTTGCGTTGCGTCGTGCTGAAATTGTATTGGCGTGTCCATGTCACTAATGTGTATATGTTTGGTCCGCTTTCGTATTATTTTTTCGGCTCATGGCCACACCATGTTTGGATATGTGCGTACGCGCGTGCAGTTTCGAATTGGTCGAGGGCGGGTGCTTGCTAGAACCTTAGCGCGCGCGAAGCGCCCGCGTGTTTCTAGTGCTTTAGATTTCGACAAACTAAAGCAGGAGGGCTTGCGATGGAAAAATGGAGAAAAAAACACCCAAATACTCCCAACATTCCTTCCGTAGCCGTTTTGGCTCCAGTTTGGCTCGAGCCAAGCTGGCTGGAACTTGGATGCCCTCCTATTGAATCTGGTGGCCCGCCATCCACATGCCAACTTGAAAATAGTGGGAATATCCGCCTGCCTGAGGCAAGTTCCGCCACCGCGCCAGCAGCGCACCGCTCTGTGTATGGCGATGCTTAGAGCACCGCCCAGAAGTCCGCACAACATGTGACACTTCTCGTCTCCACAGTCGGCCCGGATTAGTAGGTCGACCCTGTCAGCTCAAGGGTACCCTTGTGTCCTGTGCCTCGCGACGCGTGCCTTCTTACACTCCAATGGCGAGGTGGCCCTCGAAAAAGGTCCTGTGTCCTCTCGCGTGCCCTGTCCAATCACGGCCGACTGCAGTCCTGAGGCGCTCTCATGGTGCCCGCTTACCGACGCCTTCTTTGGGCTGCCTTGGGCTTCTGCGGGGACGTGCTGGGGCCCTCCCCGGAACTCCGCGGCGGTGATCTTTCACGACGTGGGCCTCTGGAGGTCTGAACCCCTTCCCCCGCACCGGCTTTCCATCCCGAGCCTTCCCTTGCTGGTCCAGGGGCCCGGAGGCGGCCCGTGGAGGCCGACAACGACCACAACGCGCCAGAGGCAAATTTGTCTCGACAGGAGGAGGAGGAGGGGAGGAGGAGGAGGAGGAGGAGGACGAGGAGGAGGAGGAGGGGAGGAAGGGAGGAGGAGGAGGAGAGGAGGAGGAGAAGAGGAGGAGGCGGAGGAGGTGGGGGCCTGTCCCGAGCCGTCTCTTTTCACTGCCGGCATCGCTCGGGCGTGTGCCCCTTTGTCCCGGCGAGGACCCTCGAGGAGCACTTCGGGGCCATGCTGCGCCAAAGTGCGCGCACGAAGCGCACGCACGGAGCACGGACGTCCGAGCGGTGGCGAGTGCCCAGGAGACGGTTTTTCTCAGGGTCCGGCCATCACCCGGGTTATCGGGCTTGCCCCCCCTCCCCCCCCCCGCTTGGATAACCCAACCTTGCCGGTTGTGCAGGTCCAGGAGGGGGGGGGGGGCGCGGGCATATCTGCGGGGCTGCCCACAGCGCGAAGGTCAGGTTATCGGCCGGCCCCCCTCCTCCCCCCCCCTCCCCTCCGGATACCCCGGGTTATCGCCGATTCAAAATATCAGCCAGCGTTGGCCCCAAGTAGATAAATAGGCATTGGCATATAGGCATATAGGCATATAGGCATATAGGCATATAGGCATATAGGCATTGACATAGGCATAGGAACCCATACGACTCATAGGAATCCAAGGGACTCGCCATTGGAAATAGCTGGGGGGGGCCCTTGGAAATAAGGGGGGGGGGGGGGGGCCATGGCAAAAGGGGGGGGTGGGGGGGGGCACTGGAAAGAAGGTGGGGCGGGGGTGCCACTGAAGAAATGGGGGGGGGTCCGAAAGGCCAATGACTTCTGCTGAGCTCGGGCTCCTACAGGGCAGGCCTACTTTTGGAGAAGGAGGCGGTCTCCAGACGGGGGCCCTGCGCGGGGGCCCCCCCCTCGGGCGGCGTCTGCCGCGTGCAGACCCGCGCGATTCGCGATCCCTGGAGGCCTCAGCGGAGGGCGGCTCGCCGCGCGCCTCGGCGTGCCTCGGGACGACGACGCCGACGACGCCGCCGCCGCCGACGACGACGACGACGACGACGACGACGACGACGACGCCGACGCCGACGCCGACGCCGACGCCGACGACGACGCCGACGACGACGCCGACGACGACGCCGATGCCGACGCCGACGTCGACGACACCGACGGCGACGACGTCGACGACCTACCGCGCCTGGGCGTGCCCGGGGGGCACGGGCGCGGATACCGTACCTTTTTCCTAACTGCACGAGCCCAGACCCCCGGCGCCGTGGTCTTTGTCGCAGCGCCGGCCCGCAGATCTGGACGCCCGACATGGGCACGGAAAGAATGGGTACAATGCCCAACAGCATTTCCTGGCCATTTTGAAGAGGTCTCGCTGTCCGCGCCGCCGCGGCCTGTGTCCATGTAAGGCAGAAGGCCGCCTGCCCATCAGCGGCCGCTGTTGGCTTGGGACACCATTGGCGGTTGGGCATTGGACCCATTCTTTCCGTGCCCATTTCGGGCGTCCAAATTCCCCGGGGCCAGTCCCAGACACGCTCGCGTCGTACAAAAAACATCAGGACGGAGGTTTTTGGCGATGTTCGGCCTCGGGAGGCCCTCGCCGGGCCTCGGGACCGTCAGAAAACGACTCGAGACGAAGAACCGGTCCCGGGGAAAGGGTCGGGACTTCCAGGGACGCCGTCCTGAAAAACTCAGGACCCAGACCCCCGACGTCATGAATTTTTCATGACGTCGACCCCCAGAGGTCCGGACCCATTCCCCATGACCGGCTTTGCATCCTGAGTTGTTTTTTGACGCTCCCGAGGCCCGGGGAGGACCCGGGGAGGACCCCTGGAGGCCGAAAATCAGGAGAAATATCCCGTCATGATTTTTTCATTACTCGAGGGGGTCTGGGGACGTCGCATGTCTGGGGCTGCTCCTCCTGCGTCGTTTTCTGCCGCTCCCCGGGGGCCTCGGGATAGGGCCCCCTCGGCGGCCGAAGCGAAGGCAGCGGCCACCGTCCCCTCGGCGGCCAGCTCAGCTGCTCCTCCTGCGCCGCTTCCTGACGGCCCCGCGGGGGCCTCGGGAGGGCCCTCCCCGGGAGGCCGAAGGCAGCGACTGAAGGGGCCCCAGGACACACAAATAAATACACACAAATAAAAGTATCCCCCATATTTTCCTATATTTTCTGGGTTTTTGTCTTCCCCCCCACTTCCCATATTTTTGCATATTTTCCTGGGAGTCGGCGATTAATGGTGTCTGTGTGTTTCTTTCCCTCCTGAGCGACAGGCCTCCCGCCGCGATTGTCTCACGGCGCGGGGGGGTCTGGGAGGTCGCCCTCTGATCGGATGTGCGCTGCGCGCGTCTGCCGGCCGGGGGCCCGCCTGCTCGCGGCGGCGTGCGCCCTGCGCGGGGCCGGCGCGCTGGGAGTGCGCAGCGGCGCGCGCCTGAGCCACCGGGAGGAGCCGGCGGCCTCGTCGGAGGCCGCGGCGGAGCTGGGCTCCGCGGCGGCCAAGGCGCGGGAGGAGGAGGAGGAGGAGGAGGAGGAGGAGGAGGAGGAGGAGGAGGAGGAGGCGGAGGAGGCGGAGGAGGAGGAGGAAGAGAAGAACTGGCGGTCTGCGCATCATGCGCTGTCGGGCAGAGCTCTGGCGGCACTCTCGGCCTGCCAGGCAGGCGGTCTGTGCGTTGCCGGTCTCTTCAAGCGACCTGCGCACCAGTTGTTGTCGAGCAGCTCTGTCGGGCAGGTCACCGCCCACCAAACCACCCCAACCCTACCCGAAGGCCTCAATGTGCCATCGATTTCCAGTGGGGGGGGGTCGGGGAACATCGATAAAACACATGTGAAGCCCGTCCCCCCCCCCCAACCCGAAATTCGGGTCTTCGGGTTGGGTTGGGGTAGTCTTGTGGGCAGTCAGGGAAAAGGTATCGATGCCGTTACCGTGGTCTCTTTTCGCCTTTTTGGGCCTCCTTCTAGAAGAGGACACATGTAAGCATAAGCTTTGGCGCTCCGCGCGGAATTCTTGGATCCGCGCTGGGCCCCCTCTTGCGGCGCCTCCGGCTCCGCCCCTGGTGCGCTCCAGCGCAGATCCACGAAATCCGCGCGGAGCGCCAAAAGTTTAGTTTTGTGTAGTTTGTCCTTCTTCTGGCTGCCCTTGCCTCTTCCCTAGTGGGGTGCTTCTTTCACTCTTTGTTTTCTCTCTTTCTGTGTCTCTCCCTTTTTGCTTGTTCTCTCTCTCTCTCTCTCTCAACGGAACAACCTTGGGAACCGCAAGCGTTCCTCCTCCTCCTCTTCCTCCTCCTTACCCTCTTCCTCCTCATCCACTTCTTCCTCTCATTACTGTTACTAATAATAATAATAAGAATAAGAATACGAATGCTGATACTACGACTGCTACTACTACTACTACTACTACTACTACTACTACTACTCGACGACGACGACGACGACGACGACGACGACGACGACGACGACGACGACGACGACGACGACGACGACGACTACTACTACTACTACTACTACTACTGCGATTGCTACTAGTACTTTGATTATTGCTACTACTTTTACTACTACTACTACTACTACTACTACTACTACTACTACTACTACTACTACTACTACTACTACTACTACACTACTACTACTACTACTACTACAACAACTACTACTACTACAACCACAACAACTACTACTAAAACTACTACTACTACTACTTCTACTACTACTACTACTACTACTACAACAACTACTACTACTACTACTACTACTACTACTAATAGTAATGATATTTTCCTTTCTCTATCACTACAACTACTACTGGTAACAGTTTTATTCTTACTCATACTACTACGATTAATTGTATTACTACTACTACCACCACTACTACTACTCCGATCCCTACTACTGCTACTACTACTACTACTACTACTACTACTACTACTACTACTACTACTACTACTACTTCTACTTCTACTTCTTCTACTACTACTACTACTACTACTACTACTACTACGATGACTAATTCTACTACCACTACGATTTCTACTACTATTTCTACTCGTACCAGAACTACTACTACTGCTACTACCACTACTACCTAGAGGCCGAGTACGCCATGACCTGGGAAGCAGCGGCCGAGAAGGCGCACTCGGTCGCGTCCGCCATGACCCCCGAGGATCAGTTTCGCCTCGTCGGGGGCCTGCACAACATTCGGGCCGGACGAAAGGGGGGGATTTGGCAAGGGGGGGTTACGAAATCTGCTGCATGCAGCTGGCTCTGGCCTCACCAAGGGGCCCATTCCTCGATACATAGCCGCCTCCGGCGCCAGGAGGCGCCGGGAAAATCAGCTACGTGAGCTGATTCTCACGCCCCCCCTTTGTTGCTATCCCCCCCTTTCGCCCGACCCGAAACATGGAGGCCCACTACTACATCGGCAACACCGAGGCGGTCGAGAAGTTTGGCATCCCGGCGTTGCGCATGCAGGACTCGAGCAACGGCTTCCGCACCACGGACGACGAGGAGTTCAACACGACCACGCACTGGCCTTCTCCACTGGCTCTCGGCGCGACCTGGGACGTCGATCTCATCGAGCGCGTGGCGGAAGCGATAGGTGCGGAGTTCAAGCAGAAGGGCGCCAACGTGGTGTTGGGGCCATCGCTGAATGTGCACAGGGTCGCCGCGAACGGCAGGAATTTCGAGTACATCTCGAGTGTTGCCAGAGATGTCCTTGGCCCAAGGTGTCCCTAGGAGCCTCGTGGAGGTCCAGATGGTCTTCGGAGCACCCCTCTCAGGGCGCCAGGGACTGGGGCACAGCAAACGGGCACGGGGAACGCCGATTTTCACGTTTGGCTATGCCCCCGTTCAGGGGGCCCTGGGCGCCGTAGACTTGGGCACAGTAAACGGGGGCAGATGGAAAAGCCTAAGCCCCCGTTTAGCTAAACCCCCGTTTACGAAGCCCACACCCTCACCAGGCCCAGAGGGCCGCAGGGGCTCCAAAATGATGCGAACAAGAATGGAGACACCTCGGGCCGGGACGAACTTGTAGCAACACCCGACACATGGCTGGGGAGGATCCGTATTTGGGATCGCGCTACGCCGCGCCATACATACGTGCGGTGCAGCGGCAGGGCCTGATCGCGACCGCCAAGCATTTTGCGTTTAATGAGCAGGAGACAAACCGGTACAACGAAAGCTCTGACGTCGATGCCGTTACCGCGTGGAACCTATATTATCCGCCTTTTGAAGCCGCAGTTCAGTCCGGCATTGGTGCTTTCATGTGTTCCTACAACAGGGTAAACGGCACATTCGCGTGTGGCAATGAAGATATTTTGAAGCGGGATTTGCGGGACATGATGGGCTTCAAGGGATTCGTTATGACAGATTGGATGGCAGGGCATTCACCCACGGACATGCTCCACGGTCTATCCCAGGAGATGACCGTGGGCCCCGCGTGGTTTTTCAACAAAGAGAAGCTCAGCGAGTTCGGCACCACGAAGCTCACGGAGGCAACCGCCGAGATCCTCACGTCAGTCTATCGCCTTGGCCTCGATCGCGAGAAGGCTCCGTGCCAGCAGCCGTGCACCAGCGTGAAGTACTCCAACGCGCGCAGCACGGAGCCCGACCGCACGCAAGAGTGGCCCTTCGCCCGAGTGGCCTCTGGTGCGGGCCCGCTGGGGGCCCCCGATCGACGCGCGCGACGCGATGCGATCGTAGTAAGTCCGGCCTGTCCCTCCACGGGAGGAGTATCCAAACATAGTTTAAAAGATAGTCGGGCGACTATTTTGGGAGTATCTTTTTGATCATGTCTGAATATTGTTGGACTGTTTCTGATTGTTCCTCGAAGATCGGCCTGCAGGGGGACAGTCGGGGGTGGACAGAACCCCCAACAGTGACGCGTCGATTAGTGAATTTGTCCGTTCTCGGCTCTCGAGAGGGCGCCGCGGCCGTCATTTTCCGGGCTCGCGCCCGCCAGGCTTGGGCCTCGGGTCGTTTTCACTGAACCACGTCGTCATAAATCAAGGGAGGAAAAACCACCCGGACCGGACAATTGGTGTTTACTAAACGGCCCTGGGCGTTTACTAAACATCCCTGCCCCGTTCGATTCCTTTTTTGGGTGCGTTTACTAAACTGCTTCGCGTGTCGGGGTGGTTATTGTCGGGGTGGATTTTCTGCCCTCTAATAAAGGGAGGTCTGTCCGGTCCATCCCCGAAAAAAGCTCACGCGCTTCCGGGGACCGCGCACCGAGAGGATCGGGACGGGCCCGCGGCCGGGCCTCTCGGATTAGTTAATTCGCCCCCCGGCCGCCCGAAGAGTCCCCTGGCGCCTCCTCCGGGGAGGAGGAGGCGGAGGAGGAGGAGGAGGAGGAGGAGGAGGAGGAGGAGGAGGCGGGGGAGGAGGAGGAGGAGGAGGAGGGATGAGGAGGAGGAGGAGGAGGAGGAGGAGGAGGGAGGGAGGAGGAGGAGGAGAGGAGGAGGAGGAGGAGGAGGAGGGAGGAAGAGCAGCCGCGGGCGTTAGTTGCCGAGGTCTGTCCATCCCCGAGACAGGCGCGCGAAGGTCCGGCCCCGCCCCGCGGCCCCCCGCAGGCTGCGCACCACGAGGTCACATTTTTGTCTATGGCCTCGGTGGCGCGCCCGGGGGCGGCAGCGAGGAGGAGGAGGAGGCCTTCGCTGAAGTCGGGCCTGTCCCCCTACATGGGGATTTTCGACGAAACACTCAAAAATGCCCCAAAAAATAGTCCAAGCATGGTCCCAAACACAGTCTGGGGACTGTCTTGTGAGCATGTTCTGACCTTTGGGGGTATGTTTTAAAAATTGTTCGTCGAGAATCCCCCTGTAGGGGGACACGCCCGACATAAGCCTTCGCAGAGGGCGGCGGGGCTTCTCAGAAGCCCCTGGCGCCTTCGGAGAAGTTCCCCGTGCCTTCGGGAAAGGCTTGGAAGACTTCCCAGAAGGCCACGGACTTTCCGAGCCTTCCGAGGAGGCCTTCTCCTTCTCACTTCCCTCCCTCACTCCCCAGACATCCGGCTGTTCCAGTTTTGTCGATGCGTGGGCCCCAGAGGTCTGGACAACTTCCCGAGGGCCGAGTTTTCGACCTGAGCCGCTTTTGGACGGTCCCGAGGCCCCGCGAGGGCCCCTGGAGGCCTCAGACGGCCAAGAACCCTGAGAGCCGCAACATCGCCCGCAGCCCCAGACGCCATCTTTCTGCGTCACTTTTCGAGCGGGATCTCCTCCTCCTCCTCCTCCTCCTCCTCCTCCTCCTCCTCCTCCTCCCCCTCCTCCTCCTCCTCCTCCTCCTCCCTGTGAGGGTCCCAGGCCCCAAAATTGGTCGAAAACGCCCGGTATGAGAGCACTGCGGCGCCAGGATCTCAGGGACAGTCGGGCCGATCGAAAGGGGGGATAGGGAAAGGGGGGGCCCAGACCCCCTCGAGTAATGAAAAAATCATGACGGGATGTTTTTCCTAATTTTCGGCCTCCGGGGGCCCTCACCGGGCCTCGGGAGCGTCAAAAACGACTCAGGATGCAAAGCCGGTCATGGGGAAAGGGTCCAGACCTCTGGGGGTCGACGTAATGAAAAAATCATTACGTCGGGGGTCTGGGGGGGGGGCGAAATCTGCTGCACGCAGCTGGTTTCGGCCCCGCCGCCGGGCCCATTCCTCGGTGCACGGGCGCCAGGAGAATCAGCTGCGGGAGCTGATTCTCAACCCTCCCCTTTGCTAACCCCCCCTTTCGCCTGGCCCGAGACAGGCCGTTGCAACCTTCCTGGGGCGTCGGACCTCTCGCCCCCGCGGAGGAGCACCGAGCGCGCTCCACCACTCGCAGAGTGCCCACTCGCAGACGTCCGAAGAAGCACCTGTCTGCCTTGATGTCATTGATCGTAGATCCCCCGCGGGGGATCCAGGCCCTTTGCGGGGAGTTACTCTGCGAGCAGCGGAGCGCGCTCGTCGAGAGGAGCACACGGCGCTGGCCCGGGAGGCGGCCACGGCCTCCCTGGTGCTGCTGAAGAACGACCGGGGCCTCCTGCCCCTGCGCGCCGGGCCGAAGAAGCGGCCGCTGGGGAGGACAAAGTCAGGGGCGACGACGGAGGAGGAGGAGGAGGAGGAGGAGGAGGAGGAGGAGGAGGAGGGGGAGGATAAGGAGGAGGAGGAGGAGGAGGAGGAGGAAAGTCAGTGGCAACGGCAGAGTGCAAGCTTTCATTCAAAGGGGGGGGGGGGGCACGTTTTGTCCGCCCCCTTCCGGCGGCAGAAGCAGCAGTCATCCAGTACAGGGGTGTTGTTGAGAGATTGCCGTATGCATGTGTTTCTGTCTGCCGTAATTGCTACATTGTAGGCAGTATTGCGTCGACCATGCACGTGCTGGGAGAGCGCCATACGAGTAAGGTGTGCGGGGACAGGCATAGGGGAAGCGGAGCA